CATCGCATCGGTCCCACGCCACAAGTATCTTCAACAAGCTCTCGAGCTAAAGCTCTCGAGCTTGTTGAAGATACTTGCAGTAACATCACTTCGATCTCGAGCAAGCTCTCGATCTCAGTGATGTCACTGTGTGTACCATAAATGTAACCAGAATGTGTACTCTGTTGAGCTCCGTGTAATTATCGGGAGAAGAGTTTTTGTACTGTGCGCTCTCGAGCTTTGGTACACGTGCGGACCGTGCGACGCCACAGTTACTATACATACCCGTTTGAACTGATTTTGAACTACGATGTCGTACTTCCCGCGAGTTTGTGGGAGTTTCTTCCGGAACTTRATCTGCCCGCCACACTTTCTTTCTTCGCCCATCATCATAAGTTTCCATCAAAAAATGTTAAGATGCGATGAACAGCTGCTGCTGAGTGCAACAATTGTTCTGTTATTATCATTCCCTTTYCATCTCACAATAATACGACCGGAAATATACACCAAAGTACGGCAACTATGACTATTCCTCGAACCAATTCACGCGGCCAATGGCTTCTCGCCCTTACTACTCTCTGTTGCGTTTGCTTCGAGTCTTCAGTTGGTTTTTTGACGTCGAATTCGCTTTCATCTCGGACTTCCATTGACAAGATATTCCTTTTCGTCGAAAATGGTACTGGTGGTCAAGGTGGTGACATAGCAAACGGATTGAAAAATTATTCGAAGGAAGTTATTGAATCAAGCAAAAGCAACGAATGGGGAATTCCTTCCACTGATACTCTCGACCCACTAGCTGCAAGTCCTCAAGAAAAACTCGAAAACGGAGGAAGGGTAACATTGGTCGGATCGGGYCCGGGAGATCCCGAACTTTTGACCCTCAAGGCATACAACATCCTTCAAGATCCCGACGCCGTGGTAATTGCAGACAGGCTCGTCAGCCAAGAAATTCTAGATTTGGTGAAGGGTGAAATCAAAGTGGCGAGAAAGCTGCCCGGTTGCGCCGAGAACGCTCAAGCCGAAATTTATTGGTGGACCTACCAGGGCTTGGCTTCAGGGCAACACGTGGTTCGCCTGAAGATTGGTGACCCATTTGTCTTTGGAAGAGGAGGGGAGGAAGTCCTTCAGTTTCGTAAATTTGGTGTCGAATCCAAGATTGTTCCAGTAAGTTGTTATCTGTCAAATGTCATCTGTCATATTTTGTCGCTGTCGTAGAATTTTTGCYGTCGCATTTTATCTCACTTTTTCAATTATAAATCCATTCTGAAAATTATTATAAAAATAATTGTAGGGAGTTTCAGCAGCTTTTTCTGCGCCATTGCTTGCAAATATTCCGGTGACTCATAGAGGATTTTCGAATCAAGTCGTCATGTGTACGGGCTATGGAAGGGAAGGATCTTCGCCCGATTTGATCCAATACCACGAGGAGCAAACAATAGTATTTTTGATGGCTGTTGGTAGGTTGCGCGTATTGTGCGAGCGTCTGATAAGCTTGGCAGGATATCCGAAGGAGACACCGGTAGGTATTATCGAGCGAGCCGGTTGCCCGAACCAACGAACGGTCATTGGCGATATGCAAACAATTGCGGACATTGCAGAGAAGCACAAGATTCAAGCACCGAGCACGATTGTAGTGGGTAAGGTTGTGAACGTCTTGTTGGAAAAGGATGAAAGTGGAATGGTCACTCAAGGTTTGCTACGAAACGCGACTGCTATTTCAGTCTAAGGAATACTSTACGTCTCCGYGGAAAAGACAACAACACAACGCGTTAATTTTTACATGATTAATCATGGGTAGAGGCGTTATTACAACCTTTTGCATAGAATCAGAGAACACAAGGGATTTTGAAACACTGAGTTGAATCTGCACAAGGCTTTATGAGTTGTACGGAACTAAACAATATAACAAAGCACTCATTTTTTCAGATGTTGCACTTGATAACGAAGGTCTCTCGATAGTTTCGTTGCAAACTTTTGTTTTACTTCAAGGAAATCGTTATGGTCGAACGTTATACAGTTGAGAGATCACTTCTATCGCGATTCGGCACACTCTCTTTTCATCACATTTACGTTTGTGCTCATTTCGTGTTCTATTATCACTGCGCCATCTCGTGGTTGAATGGTTTTCTTCTGACTGACCMGGAAAAATCTGATACAGGAGTAAATAAGGTGAAAWATTGGAATAGTCATAATAGTTGGTTACCTTTAACGTTATGATGACATCTACCTCCGGTATGTTTCTTTCTTTTCACAGGGTTTTTCGGAAGTTCATGAGCGTTTCACGCGTTGGATTATACTTTCGAATCAGTGACAGCGAGTTCATGTGCCATAGGTTTGTATGGACAGTAGCATATTATTTTTGCTAGTCGACCGTTCATTTATCGCTTTCTTTCTTTGTCTACGAACGTCCGCAGATATTTTCCCTTATCGGATTTCGAGTCCCTTYTCYTGCAAGGACTTCAATCTAGGTTCTGGAGGAACCTTTCCCACACAGGCCTTAATTCTTTGACCTCCAACACTCAGTGTGCAACTGTTGCAGTCTCCCTTTTTACAGCTGTATCGAGGCTTGACACCAAGACCAGCGGCGGCATTCTTCATCGGAGAACCTGCCTTGAAATTCTTCTTTTTGCCCTTGTAGGTTAGAACAGTCATTTGCAAGGCCGACGTCCGTTGGTAGGAACCAAGCGAGGACGCCGATTGGAAAGCTTGCACACTGGCTGCGACGAAAAGGAAAGCGACAATCAGGGATAGGACAGACTTCATGGTTGCTTTCGTTCAATTTGTTGTTCACAAAATTTGTGACTTTTTCCATACGATACCAGCAGTTCATAGCGATAGCCTTAGCGGCTCACCTGAAAACAGAGATGATGGCTTTTCGTAGAAAACCAAAATTGCTGACGATGACGATGACGATGACGACACAGGATCAAAATCTCAGCTGAAAACAAAAAGGGGGATCCAACAATTTCTTTTCATGACTCTTGTTGTGGTTGCTGCATATTTGATCGAATGAATCGAAGAATGTATCGGATCAAATGAGTCGTAAATTTAGGAGGTTTACACAAACGTCATTCGTTCAAACACGTACGGTGTACGGAAAGTAATAGTAGTCGTAGATTTCAAGTGATGTAATGTACACGCGTCCTGCGCGCCTCAAAACAGCAGTCTCGTACGTCCCAACTTGAACTGCTGACGATCTTMCGTTCAGACGTTTGTATTCTCGTGAATGGCGTTCGCACGTTTTAGCGGGCGGGTTTTCTCTGTTTCCTCTTTCTGCCTTCAGAGTTCTCAACCAAGCAAATACGTTTGTGTGTCGATTCACACAAAACTAGATCAGCTACGTCTTATTAGTAAAATTAATATACTGTACAATGAGATTCTTTTGTCTTGCTGCTCTTTTGGCGTCTGCCTCTGCGTTCACTACCCAAGGAGGTGCATTCACCACCAGCACCCCTGCTGTCGGAGGAGCCTTCCAGGATGTTGTTGCCACTCCTAACTCGCACGCGAACCGCCGAGCAACCATCGTCATGGACGGAAAAGCCAATGGTACGTTKTGATAATCTTTTAGTTTCACGATGGTAATCAAAACGAATGTACGAATAGCTCTCGTACGAACACGCGATCTCGACGTACAAAATARGATTCGAAAGCTCGAAATGACTCTAGGCACCGGTTCATAGTCTATGTCTCGTTGAACAACGAAGGATTCAAAAACTCTCTGGTCACTTAAGCATCAGCTCTCAACAGAAACGCACACACCAATACGCACTGATCGATAGTCGACAGCCCGGTGTAGACGAAAAATCAGAGATGGGAGTCTCCTCATTGAAAACATTCCACCAAATACTCACGTTTTTTCCTATTGCTTTTCTGTTTTCGTCGCGTACAGCCATCCGTGACCGTATCGCTTCCGTGAAGAACACAAAGAAGATCACTATGGCCATGAAGCTTGTMGCTGCCGCAAAGGTCCGTCGTGCACAGGATGCTGTTCTCGCCACCCGTCCTTTCTCGGAAACTCTTCAATCCGTTTTTGGAGGTTTGATTGCTCGATTGGGAGGCGAAGCCATCGATCTTCCTCTTTTGACCCAACGTGAGGTCAAGAAGGTCACTTTGACTGTTGTCACCGGAGACCGTGGACTTTGCGGAGGATACAAYTCTTTCATGATCCGAAAGGCCGAAAACCGATTCAAGGAACTTAAAGACCAAGGAATCGATGTTGATATGGTTCTTATTGGACAGAAGGGAATTGCTTACTTCGAGCGTCGTAACTACCCCATCCGAAAAACATTCCCTTGCGGACAGAACCCKAATGCCAAGGAGGCCCTTGCCATCTCTGAAGAATTGTTGAACACCTTCCTTGCCGGAGAGACCGATGCCATCGAATTGCTTTACACAAAGTTCGTTTCTCTCATCGCCTCTACTCCTTCCGTCCGAACTTTGGTTCCTTTCTCTGCCTCTGACATTACCCAACAAGGTGATGAAGTTTTCCAATTGACTTCTGAGTCTGGTGACTTCTCTGTCGAGCGCACTGAGCTTGACGTTGCCGAACCACAAGAATTCCCTAACGATATGATCTTCGAACAAGATCCTCTTCAAATTGTCAACTCCATCCTTCCTCTCTACCTCAACGGACAAGTCCTCCGAACTCTTCAAGAATCTGTTGCCTCCGAACTCGCCGCACGAATGCAATCGATGCAATCTGCCAGTGACAACGCTGGAGAACTCGCCTCTAAATTGTCTTTGGAATACAATCGTGCCCGTCAAGCTGCCGTCACCCAAGAAATTCTCGAGATTKKYGCTGGTTCCGCCGCCCTAGAGTAATACTTCATTTTGTCTAAAGAAAGACCTTTTTCGAAACGGTTGAACTCCAATAGATTGTTGTATATTTGCTCGAGAAAAGCTATGACTTCCCTTCTATGGTTACAAATAGTACTGAATAAAAWTAGTCACATATCATAGAACACAAATCTAGTTTGAAGCACTCAAGTTCTCAATTCTCAGTATTCAATGGTCTTGGTCGATAAAGGTCCATCAAAACGAATTCGATTAGAGCCCTTCTCCAGTTTATGTTCTAATTTAAATGGCATAAAAAACAAGTTCTTTCTAATTCGACGATTGAATTGAAGAATTCTGCTTCGCAGTCTTCAAATTAGTTTCGGGGCGACCTATTTTGATTCCACCAAAGCGTGGTAAGGTTATTGGGATTGCKTCTCCCTTGTTTTGCAAAGATGGTTCTAGTGGGAGAGAGCCKGSGACAAAGTTCATGCCTGTGCTGTTGCCATCGACAAGATGCTTAATAATTGTAGGACGGCATGGAGGAAGGACGACTGGGTTGTTGATAGCACCTGCACCGGTCCTGTCTGATGCGCTATTGCCGTGAARCCACTCATGATGCTTTAAACACGCTTTCGCAATTTTTGTTTTGTGCCCAGTTTTYCCACAGAATGGGCATACTGCATCTTTGTTACTGACGTTCTTTTTTCTCTTCATCCTTATTTCATGGCATTGATCGTCTTTGTCATTTTCATCGTCACCTACGAGCCACTTTAGCTCTTTCGTCTCACGCAGTGCTTGCGATCTAAGAAAATAACGCAGAAAATCAAGGCAATAAGTGCAGTTCTAGCTAGATACCACTGAAACGTACTCATTTGCCACTCTGAGCAGTGAACTGCATTGCATAAACTTACGTTTTTTTCCTTGCCCTCTCGTTGGTAACAACATAATATTTTCCCCCAGGACCAATGTCGATGAATCGTCCTCCACGATCTTGTATGTGCTGGACGATTTCTCGCACAAAATTAGTTTTCATTTTTCTCTGCTTCACGTCAATTCTTCGATATTCCTCCTTCTTTTCACACACGACTTTTCGATATCGTTTGTTTCCAATAAAGTTGTTGCTTTCTCCTGGCAAAGCATTCAGRGAAAATTGTCAAGATTAAAAATAGTGCAACATGGGTCGATATTCTATTGGACGAATGTACGAACGAAGCAGCATATTGAAMGGGGAATCCAAAGCTTTCCCCCCGGACTAATTTGTTCTTCACTTACCACCTCGTCCACAAAGAACATCCCAATTTCCGATATTTTCTTCGGGTGCTAGCCAGTGCCAAAGGTCGGGAGGATCACCCTGGTCGTTTTCATTCCCCTCGGGAGTAATTCTTTTTCGCTTTTTTYGTTTCTTTGCACTCACATCGTTGTMGGTGCTAATGGCGGCAACAATAGTTGTTGCTGMWTCAGGTATTCTAGGTTCGATATCTGTTGGCAGCATAGGAATGTCGCCTGTCGCTACTAATTCCAATGTATTCTCCATGTGGTGGTTCGGTTGTGAAACGTGTTGCTGCCCCTGGTTTGCACCTATAACTATCCCACATGAAGCAGGAACCATTGCTACAGCGGAAGCAACGGCCGCTACCGTCGGTCCTTTCGTCAAGTCCTGGCCAAGGCTCAAGAGGGCCGCGGCTGCTTTCGGGCCCCCATTCGATGAATCCCCCTCTACAGATGAGAGCGGCGTTGCGGTAGCTTGTGTTGTTTCCTTGTTTATCGATGCATCGTGGCGTCCGCCATCACCAACATTGGTCATACTTCCCAAAGATATTTCCACTTCTGCGATATTCCTATTGACCAAAATAACCCGCGGCTTGTTCTTTGTTCTCACTCACTTATCCAACCTTTCTATTACTGGTAGTAAACGATCCCTGGTTTTACTTCCGCTCCCTGCATTTTTGGCAAGGTGATCGATAGTTCTTGACAGCTTCKACGTCGAATGGTATTTGCAACTTTGCACTCTCTTCGTTCATAGGATCCTCGAATGCCGGTGTGATCCACTTCCGATTTCAAGCGAGATCTCCTTGCTAACAAAATTGACGACGGTGATTTCTGGTATTATCCATGTCTCGAGTCTGAAACCGACGTCTGTTTGAAGTCATAATGTACGTGCAAGCCAGTACTACGAGTACAGTAAAYTGCTGAGTGATGGTTGGAGAGATTGCAGAGAATGCATTTTCCGAATTCTCTCGTCTGGTGATGTCTAAGTCTGAAGAGAGCTACCGGTATGTTCGTGATTGCTCTTATTTAGTCCWCTCAAAAAACTATGAGTGTGAGGATCAGACAGCTTTTTGTTGCGCCTCACTAGAGGGATGTTTGTTTCAAGGAAAGCAATTTCAATGGAAAGGGCGGGGACTTTGCTGCTTTCATTARTAAGCATGATTACAATAGCAAAAGAGAAGCTGATCCTTCCATTGGAACAAAGAGGAYGACAAAGGCAGAGTTTGATGAGCTCATGGATGAGAAGTTCAACAAGTTGGTGACCAAGAATGGTACATACAAGCCATACCAGAACAAGTACTAGGACTTGGTAAAGCTACCACCAGCAATGTTGCTTGGAAGACAGTTTGGAATCAGAGGAGGGACAGAGCTTCTTGTTGGTCCCTTGTGGAGCTAGTACGGCATAGGGATCATGGGCACCTTCAAGAAAGGGATGAGCATGGAAGGCCTAAAGTATGCAATCATTGCACCAGGAGGAGGATTTGATAAGTCACACCAGCTGTCTCCTCTTCATAATCTGACTGTTGTAACAAAGCAATTTCCCCCCTCTGGTTAAAAATCCTGGAAATCAAAACTGTATTGTAAAGCTCCTCTACTTCTATCAAGGAGATAGATGTGATCCCAAGCACAAACAGCTCCTTTGCCATCCAAACTTGAAGAGGAGCAAGAAGAACAACCCTTACTATTTCAAGGCAAACTCACAGGTTGGAATCAATGCAGTTAGAGGCTGGGTGAAAGAGTTTGCTGAAGTTGTTGATTTCAAAGATTGGGAGAAGTATATAACTTAACCTCAGCTTCAAGCAAAGCTCTTGACTTTGGCTCTGGTTAGATTTCTTYGTGCAATCTGTATGTTTTCAGATTTGTTTTGTGGTCTTGCCTCTTGTGRCRAGACTGCACAAAATGCACTTWCTCCCTTGAGGAGTGTTTTTTGTGAATACAAATCAGAATRCATACAGATTGTAGATTGTACCTACAGTGTGAGTATCTCGCCAATTATAACATACAAACSACCATACCTTCATGATACTTTATCAAAATTGCTTAATTTATTGTTTGTCTTGCTGATTCTCATTATGAAATGTACATATGCTCTTTAGAGTAATATAACTACATGTTTACTACAATAAAGAGTGAGGCTATTCACTAGCTACTTGTGATCCAGTTTTATCCTCACACCACCCTGCACGCACACAATCTGAAGACTCAAGTGATTCAAATGTTGTAGAGTTGGAGGAGTCAAAATGAAACAGATCATCTTGAGGATTTAGATTAGTGTGAGTGGAGAAAGTTGCCATCTTATTGAAAGCGGGATCAACAGGTAAGGGGAAGGTGTCTGAAAGTTGTTGAAAGTACKTGTATTGCGGTMGTAGGCGACCCATGAACACATCTGAAYGTTCATAGAATTAAGTATGACCAGTGGGTTTGCTCAGTGAGTCACTGTAATTTGCTTCAGATTTGGTCTCCACATAGTGAAGAAGTTCATCACCAGTCCATTGTAGGATCACAAAGAGCTTCAGCAAAGGCATTACAAATATCGTAGCCAACACAAATTAGGTTTGATGCAGCGGCAATGGCCCACATGAGGCGATGAATCAGTTAATCCAGTGTTATCCTCACACTCGTCAACATCTTACCGTTACTGATACAAGTAGCATTTAGAAACATGATTCGGAAAAAATGATGGAAATCTAACAAAATTGTTACTGAATTCAAGCCAGGTCTCCTTTTCCCCCCAGTGATTATAGTACTTCTAGCTATCGACGTGCTGGAACTTGAACCACTTCTGTCTCGGTTCTCACTTTTCCATTGGGATCAGTGATTTTTCGAGTTATGGTTCTTGTGATGTTGCCACGAACGTCCATCGATTCGCTCGTGCTTGTTTCAATCTTTGGTTGCTTCATCTTTCTTGGATCACCGGTTTTGGGTTTGAAAACACCGGGTTGAAAGGCCGCGATGGTGCTGGAGATACCAGTTCCAGCCTTTCTTCCTGCGGTTCCATAACCAACGGTATTGTACTTAGGAGGTTCGGGACCGTCGGATGCTTTCTTGGATCCCGTGGAGGCAATATTCTTTGGTATTTTTTTGGTCGCCATGTAATCTGGATCGGACGAATGCCCTACGTTTGGCTGCGGACGTGCGTTCTGCTTATCAGTGAAAGCCCAATTAGGTGCTATTTCAAGGGGGGTAGAGCAAATCTCTGGTTTTACCGATCGTGCATCAACCGACGGAGATTTCTTTTCCATCGCCTGCGGTGCAGCTTTCGATGATTCTTTTGGTGGTTTCTTTTTGAAAATATTCCATCCCTTTCTCTTGATTTCTTCCTTTTCGTTCCTGTTGGGCTCTACCGGTTTTGGTTGCGGCTTGGGTTGTCCGTATATTTGATTTGTTTTTTCTATGTGCTCAAATCTAGCTGCATCAAACTTTTTCTTTCGTCGTGCCAGTTTCTCTGCATCTTTCTTTCTCATTTCCTCTGCCTTCTTCTCGGCTTCTGTCATTTGGCCGTAAGTATTCATTTTCACTTTCGAAGTCGTTGGRCGTTCGTGTTTCGAGTTTCTTCTCAAATCTAAATGGATTTGGGGTCGACTATGATTGTGGAGGATCTTTAATTGATTGTTTCTGCAATGAACTTAATCTGTTACATGGYGCACACWCAGTAACTAGAATTAGGTCCCTGATATCGTCGTGCAGATCATGAGTTGAAACAGGTACGAGACAAAAAGCTGATCTGTACCACTTCTAAAAAATGAGAAGATTTTGAGAGGGTCATTTGCGCACCTTCACTAAAATGACTATTATGATAAGTTCATAAGTAACGGGTCATGAAATTTTTGTTCACGGAATCAGGAATTTCTGTGTATTATCGGCCGTGGTCTCCGTTGTCGTCAACAAAATAAAGAACATTTCGGGTCAAATTCTTYATTTCATGTAACTCTACTTCGTATCAAGTGCCACACCGTATTATCAATCCGTCGATCGCAAAACATTGCACAAAAAWCCTCCGAATATCTGGTTTTACATCATAAATTTGCAACAATATACAAAACCGATACAAAAATTTGACCATGGGATGCTGTAACGCAAAAGAGCAAGACGTGGTGCAGCCAGGAAACGAGAATAATGTGACACCCAACAAACAAAAAAGATCTTCTTCTGAATCTTCAAATGGGGCGCCGAAAAAGGGGGGGCTATTTGGTAGTGGAAAAAAAATGTTTGAAAAGAAATCGAAGAAACCATCTGAACCCGCCCCTCCTCYGAATTCGATTCCAGCTGACGGGCCACAAGCACCGCCGCCTGGATGGGGAGGCACACCCGAAGTAGAAGAAGAAGAAGACGAATATTCCGCCGACCGATCGTCGGGACCTCGTGACATCAATGACATCGCCGGAGAGCATGGATACATTAGTGGCACACGAAAAGACCACGAAATCAGCAATGCCGTCAAGGACAAAATCAAAACACTGGAAAAATTGGGAGTAAAGACAAAAAAGAAAATGGACAGGAAAATGCTAACTCCAAGAATTATTACAGACGTAAAAGAGACTTGGGATAAGGAAGGGAACATAACTCGATACATGACACATTACGTCGAAGATCCCGACGGTAGAAAGTACACAAAGAAAGAAACTGTTCACATTGCCGCGGGGGAGCCTGATCCACTCGCAGCTTCCGAGTAAAACTGAATACTCCGACCTAATAATAACGAAACRAGAGACCTGTTCATTGRCTCTTTTTCCGCATCCGCAATCGTTGGCGTGGGTGCGTTGAATGATGTTGAAGTTTGTTTGCTCCCTGTACTTGTTGGTATACCTTTTAATGAACCGAATAGCAAGCAGAGGCGGCGTCTTTGAGAATGAGGATATTCTGTTGCTGTTACAGTGAATRTGACTTGGCAAGGAAGTTAGTGACTGCTTCATGATACGATAAAAACAGAGAAYGAAATATTTTAGTACCTAACTGGAAAGCATGTTGATTTTTTYCCTCGCAAATTATGGTAATTCGTTGTACCGTACCGTGGAAATTCGAACACAAAAATAAGAAAATAGTCGAATTGTAATATTGTAGTTAAAGAAAAAACCATCCTGGATTTTCAACGTTTTTCTACTAGTGTACAGCAAGGGTAGACAAAATTGCTTCATCACCGCTACTAAAAGGTGATGTAAATATATTTGAGGCTGGATATTCAGCCAGGAAGTAGAATAAAAAGTATGATTGCTTTGTCAAAAGAGGCSGATCATCGGTCAAGAATTATCTTCAGCACATCGGAGATCCGAGGCAATCGACTAGAGGATACATGTTTTGCAATCAATTAAATACAAAGCGCTMAGCTAATCAGTGTCACGCAATTTRTTTAATRCACATGTCCTAAATTGTTCACCCTACAACCAAGACGAATAGTTAGTCTTCCTCGTCCTCAATTTGGCGGTTGACTGTGTCTACCAGCGACTTGACCATGCCCCTGACCTGTGCTTCCGTTAGTACCTGACTATTCATGATCGCGTTCAGAATCAGAATCGTGTATTCGGGCCGTGGGCTGTGCACCCACAAAAAACCATTGACTCCTATGCAGACCTCAAATGCTATGGATTTGCTGAGCTCGTTCAGGACTAGATTCTTCGGATACAAGAGCTCACGGGCCAATCCGAGGGGAATTTTTCGGCACGTTCCTCCTTTCAATTCTCCGTACGTCCCCTCGTTCGTCATCCAATCCTTTCGGGGAACCCCGGCGTCGTGGGGACCCAGCTGGCACGAAAGAGTAGGATCCATGGAGGGAGGCATCGTATCGATCCGCGCATAAACGAGCTTTCCCGCCGTAAAATTTGGTTTGTTGCGTTTCGTGGCACCCTCGAACCTTAGGTTGTTGAGCATGGCCGGGTGGGGCCCACCGATGTTGACTCGGTAGATATCGCCCCCGGCGCCATCGCTTGCCACTCGATCCTCGACGATGCCGATCACCCGGTCTTCCTGGAGGGGACGATATCGCTGGACGTTCTGTTTTATGTAGTAKGTATTGGAGCGGTGTACCAACCGACCCGCACAGGTTGCAAATACTCTCTCGTGGCCATCTTCTTTGCCGTCGCGTTCGATTCGAAGGCCGGTGCCGAGTTTTGGAATGCTTTTCTTTAGTGAGGTTGGCACAATCTTGTCCGTGACATCGTCTCCCGGGAGAACGATCGATAATAAAGTTSCCGTTGCCATTCAAGCTTTCTGGTTGCGTGGTTCGTTATCGTCAGAGACTTTATGGCGTTGCGAACTGTGGAGCAATCAMAAATCACAAACTGGTGTGATGGTGTACCCGAACTTGTTCAAAATAACAGAAACCATCAAAGCTGATTTTCAAACATAAGTATTCGAGGTCAGATATCCATCCCAGTGTAAAAACAACCACTGGTGATCAACCGATGAGGGAATGAATACAGTAACTTGAAAACAGATTTTGGTTTCCAGATGAAACTAAATAAGTACTTTCTACTTGATTATTGTGACCCGGTCCGCGAGTCTCTCGTGTTGAACCGA